CATGGTTTACAGTCAGGAAAGGTGTGCGTCAGGGTTGCAACCTTTCACCATGCTGCCCTGGTGGTACATTGGTTAAAGCAATCAACTGCTAACTGAAAGGTCTGTAGTTTGAAACCGCCAGCGACTCCATGGGAGTCGATGTGACAGTCTGCTTCTGTAGAGATTTACACCCTTGGAAATCCTATGGAACTGACTCCACGGCAGTGGGTTTGGTTTGGTTTGGTTTATTCAATCTGTATGCTGAGCAAATAACCTGAGAAACTGGACTATTTGAAGAAGAACGTGGCATCAGGATTGGCAGAAGACTCTTTAACAACCTGCGTGTAGAAACAGCATCGGAGCAGTGTCCGACCTCTGCAACCCCACAAGGGGGAAGGAAAACCAAGATCGACAGCCCAAGGCTGGTTCCTGAGAGGTGGAGGTCAGACATGCCTCCTCTCTCGGCCCTCTCTACCAACTCTGACACCAACTGTCCCGCTCACAGCACTCTCTACTTCTCTGCGGGGTTTAATAATTCATTGCAGTGGCCACACAGATCTCACAGACCATACTTAAAATTATAGGGTTTATTAGGGAAATAACAGGTTACAGTTTAGGCTCAGGAACAGTCAAAGATGCAGTTCTTTCATCAGGACAGCCTCTTCCCAGCTGGCCTGGCAGGCATGCCTCTCCCTTGCCTTAGGCCTCTGCCCAAAGGCTCTCAGCTTTCTCAGTGGGCTGGGAAGAGTGCCGTCTCCTGCTGCTGGGTCTCTCCTGCCACTGCTTCTCACCATCTTCAGGGTTACAGCTTGCTCTCTCTCTTTCTCCTGGTCCCAGGAGCCTCCCAACTCAGGGATCCCAGGTCCAAAGGACTTGCCAGCTCCAGGCTGTTCTTCCCTGGTGGTAGTTAAGATCCTTCTCTCTCTGCTGGAATTGGTTCTCTTTTAAAGCAAAATTGAACAATCCCTTTCGTGGGTCACAATTACCCTATCACACAGTCCCGCCCAGTCACCTGAGTGGGAGTTACAAGACCTTGGCTAGAAAGGCCACACACAAAAGTAATTGATTGCACCACACTGTGATATGTAGATGACACAACCTTGCTTGCTGAAAGTGAAGAGGACTTGAAGCACTTACTGAAGAAGATCAAAGACTACAGCCTTCAGTATGGATTACACTTCAGCATAAAGAAAACAAAAATCCTCACAACTGGACCAATAAGCAACATCATGATAAAGAGAGAAAAGATTGATGTTGTCAAGGATTTTCATTTTACTTGGCTCCACCCACAATCAATGCCCACGGAAGCAGCAGTCAAGAAATCAAATGATGTATTGCATTGGGCAAATCTGCTGCAAAAGACTTCTTTAAAGTGTTAAAAAGCAAAGATGTCATTTTGAGGACTAAGGCATGCCTGACCCAAGCCATGGTATTTTCAATTGTCTCATATGTATGCCAAAGCTGGACAATGAATAAGGAAGAGTGAAGAAGAATTGATGCCTTTGAATTAGTGTTGGCGAAGAATATTGAATATAACATAGACTGCCAGAAGAACAAATTAATCTGTCTTGGAAGATGTACAGTCAGAATGCTCCTTAGAAGCGAGGATGGCGAGACATGTTATCAGGAGGGACCAGTCCCTGGAGAAGAACATCATGCTTGGTAGCGGGTCAGCAAAAGAGAAGAAGACCCTCAATGAGATGGACTGACACAGTGGCTGCAACAGTGGGCACAAGCATAACAATGATTGTGAAGATGATGCAGGACTGGGCACTGTTTTGTTCTGTTGTACATAGGGTCCCTATGAGTTGGAAACGACTTGACAGCACCTAATGATACTGAACAGGTTTCAATGGAGCTTCCAGACTAAGATGGACGAGGATGAGAGGCCTGGTGATCTACGTCTGAAAATCAGCTAGAGAAAACCTTATGAATCACAGTGGTCTCATCCACAACCAGTCATTGGGATGGTGTTGATTTGTGGAGGGATATATTCCAGGATGTTATCCTTTGATGCAGTTATTTCCTTTCCCCTTCTAGATAAAATAGCCTGCAGTTACACTTCCAAGTTATACTTATTTTCTAAAGACTTTTTGTTTTTGCTTCAGTGACATGGAGGTCATGCAGTTACAGCCCAGGTATCTCCTATTCATTTCTCAGGGAGTTCCCTCAGCTGGAGTATCTCTTGCAAGAAACCTGCTCCAGAGTCAATGCCTCTTCAGCCATCAATCTGCACTTACAACAGGTTGTAAGCAAGGTTGATGTTATTAAAAATGAACTTGCAGGGTACTAATTAACGTTAGTATTTCTCTATGATTTTTTAGAAGATTTGGTATGATATTGTTATACACATATTACTTTTTTATTGTAGTAAAATACACATTAAATTTGCTATTTTAAAGTGTACAATTCATGACATTCAGTACTTTTACAATGTTGTGCAACCATCAGCACTATTTTGTTCTAGAACATTTTCATCACCCCAAAGGAAACCTTGTACTCATGAAGCAGCCACTCCCCATTCTCCTCTCCTCCCAGCCCCTGGCAACCACTATGGGCTTTCTGTCACCATGGATTTGCCTATTCTGGATATTTCATATAATGGAATCATACAGTATGTGGCCTTTGATATCTGGCTTCTTCTACTTAGCATCTTTTCAAGGTTCATCCATGTTGTAGCATGTATCAGTGCTTCATTTCTTTTTATGGCTGAATTGTATCCATTGTATGGATATACATTTTGTTTAGCCATTCATCAGCTGATGGACATTTGGGTTGTTCCTACCTTTCGGCTATTACGAATAGTGCTGCTATGAGCAATCATGTACAAGTTTTTGTTTGATCACCTGTTTTAAATTTTTTTTGGTATATACCCAAGTTTGAATTGCTGGGTTATATGATAGTACTTTTTATTTACATTGCTGAATTCAAATATTAGGTAATGCTTTTCAAGAAAATAGTGAAGACTTTAGGAATTTATTTGATAGAGACCAATCAACCAAAAAATGGTGTATGTACTTTCTTGTTTCACTTTATCGAAGTTAGGAATGAATCTGCTACGTGCAAGGCCGGATTACCCAATAAGCAAGGTATGCATGGGCCCAGTTGTGCCTTCCCACCAATCTGCAGTGCACGATTTCACCTGTCCCCCACCTGGCAAAGATGTGGTAAAACCTATATGAACTTGCTCACCACAGATTAGCAAGTAAATACGATTAAACCCATGTGTACCTTGCTTAATGCAAGCTGGCATACCATGCTTACTGGTTAATCCGCCCCTGGCTATGTGTAAATCAGTGACTCTTAAAGAGCAGTATGCACAAAAATTACCTGGTAACCTTTTTAACAATGCAGAGTGTCAAGGGTCATGGCTAAAGATTCTAATTCAGTAGAGGTCTGGACTCAAGGATGTGTTAAACAAGCACACTGGTGATTTCATGCAGGTGGTCTTCCGACTACACTTTGAGAAACACTAGTAACTGGGTGCTCTTTCTTAGCTGAAATCAAATTAGGCAGAAGGCATTAAAGGAGTAAAATGTAACTTTCCTGTCATCTTACCCTTCGTATAAACCCTACAACTGAGACGACAGATGATATAATGGTAATATTTGCTAGAGGAAAAACCTAAGTTATTCTATAATAACACCATTTCTTCCTTGTAATAGGGAAAGTCTGACCAAGAAGCAGCATGTTGTATTAAAAACAAAATACTGTTCCATCAGCTCTCATTCCCAGGACTCCTACTACAAATGTGTTAGCAGCAGGCTTAAGCATTGCTTTAGCAACTTGGCTTAAAAATGTAGCCAATTTAGTTTACTTTTTGATATTTGGTTTTTAAGGAGAACCCTGTTCCAAGTAAGGAACTAGCTGCTAGTTAGATTGAGTTCTTTCTTGAAAGTCTGATATGATTCACTGTAAACATATAATTACTTCGTGTGAGACTTACTGAAAACCAAAAATTACACCCCCTAACCCAGTTTAACAAGGCTTCAATTCCTAAAAACTGGCATGATTCATTTTTAGATCCAGCTGTATGACCTATCAAGTCAGTCCTGGAAGGTGATTTGGCTTCTAAGTACTGTAATTCATGTTAGTCCTTAAAGGCAGAAACCATCTTGGGCAGTTATCTATCTTGATTTAATTAATCGTAGTTCATAGAAGCTCAAAGCACTCATATTCTTCCTTTATATGAGCAAAAGTCCTATAAGTTACAATGTACAGGACAGTATATAAAAGAATTCCCATAAAAAATTATCTCAGGATCTTTTTCCTCAGTGAGGCAACTGCTATATCATCCCCTGAATTGTACAGCATCTGCCCAAGTACACGTTCTTCCTTGTGGTGAACCAAATTTAGGTAAGTACAAATCACAGCAAAAATTAAAGTTTTCATCTTTAATGAAATGACTTTGGAAAGACGTACATTTCCATGACACCAACACTACAGTTTTCGGAGTCACAGTAAGATACACACAATTATATCCGTAATTAATATGAATGCCAACATCTTTAGCAGTAATTTTTGTTACATGGCAAACAAAATCAAGAAAGCAACCATCAAACAAAAGAGACCCATAGCTTCAGACAAGGCAAATCCCAGGATGGCGTATGAGAACAGCTGCTGCTTCAGTGAAGGGTTTCTGAAAGAGACAACACATGACGGTTACTTGAGTGTCAACATGTTTGATAAATTGTCAAAGAACTGCATTACTAGTGTGTAGAATATTTGTAAACTGTAAAGTCTGCTGGAAGAGTATTTGCCTAGATCTCTTTTGCTTCTGCTGTTGACTGTTTTCCCCAATCTCAATCCTATGGGATAAAGGTAGGGAAATGTCTCTGTGTGTCAGTGTAAATGGTTAGTTCTCATCCATTTTGAGGGGTTCTGACATTCTCGTTAACACTGTTATCATCCCTCTGAAAGTATGTATACCTTTTAGGATCTGATAGTTTAGAAATTAGGCGTTAGATAATAAAATGGAAATTGATACTTTTAGAGACTGTGCTCTATTAATTATATTCCAATACAGCTTAACAATTAAGAGTGCAGACACTGAAGTCGGACCAAGTTAAAATGTATTTTCTGACACCTACTAGCCAAGACAAGACCTTGGGCAAGTAGTAAAATTTCTACATCTCTAGTCCTTCATAGGTAAACTGGAGTATACCTCCAAGGGGTGTTGTGAGGATTGAGATAGTATACGCAAACCCTTCAAAATACAGTGCGAAACAGAGTAGGCACTTAATACAAAGTAGCTACTATTTCAGTGACAATTACCACTAGCTTTTCAAGCAGGGCCTTATACTAGAGATGGAAATGATTACCTGGCATAGCCAATGATGAGGCTGCCAAAGACTGTTCCAATACCAGCACCAGAACCAGCCACTCCTACTGTTGCAGCACCGGCACCAATAAATTTGGCAGCAGTATCAATGTCTCTGCTGATTGCACTGGTCTGAAACTCCCTCCGGATTAGCTGAGCCACACCATTCTGGGCCCCATTAAACACTGTCGAGCCCTGGAGAAACAGGAAATAAAGGCAAAGGTCAAATCAGTAATTACAGTTAGCTATTTTAATTACTGTACTGTCAAAATAATAACTATTTTATAGCTGAGTTTTAATAGGAGGCAATGTGACACAATAGAAAAGGCAAGGACTTGACAACGCCTGTACCTTATACAGTTGCTATGAGTTGGAATGGACTCCATGGCAACAGGTTTTATACCTTATGATTGTTAAAAATTAAAAAACAGCATTAAATGAAGTGGCCAGATAGAGGCTTTTCAATAAATGGTAGCTATTATAATTTTAAAGATAGGTAACAACTTAAAACTATATTCTTAAATATAAATACTGAATATACTATTTCTTGGCCAACTCAGGTGGGTAAGTTTTGCATACAGGAAAATTCTCTCATTGGCTCATCCTCTATATATTTTTTGTATAAAAGGGTGGAAAAGGATTGCCCTCAAATCATTCATTAATGAGTTTTTCCCCCTACTCTAATCTAAACCAAAAGACCTAAAAACCAAACCAAACCAAACCAAACCAAACCAAACCCGTAAGACCTACTTGGTAGTGTTGCCTAATTTCTCTTATTACTACCATTACCTCTCCAGTCCTAGCTTCTGGTCGAGATAACACTGATGCAGAAATTGGTCTGTATGCAACCCTGGATCCAGCTCGGATCTATTAATGGGGGAAAAAAAAAAAGATTGTATAAGTATTAAGAAAATGGACAAGACTTCTGTGGGCCTTCTTGCACCATGAGTTCTGAAAAAGCAAGCGGCAAAAATGAAGCAGAAAGGACGAGTTCACAACTTTTCTATACTGACTTTTACTCATCTTGGCTGTTTGGTTATTTTCAATACATGAAGCAATTTTAATAAAGCTTTGATGTTGCTAATGAAGTTTTAAAGCTTGCTATACAATTTATTTGTACTATTCTGAACAAAAATTATAAGAACAATTAGTTCAAAAGACAATAAAGTATTGCTTTTAAAATTTAGATTACTGTATCGCCACAATTCAGCTCAGAAAAATAATAAGCACCTCAACTTTATTGGTAAGCTTAAGTGGACCAACAAGTATCTTAGGAGTATCACCATAAATGCCTGTCATTTAAAATAGCCTGTCAGTTAACATGAGCACCCACCATTTTCAAGATATCCCTGTATACTCATTATATCATGACATACGAAAGCAGTTTGAGTAATTCAAAATCAGTGTAAGAATAATCGGTGAAATACTCTGACCATAAGGACCTATTCCAGTCCAGCTTCTCTGCCCTTGAATGTCCACTAAACTAAGCTCACAGAAAATCCCTTCGGAACGAAGTCCTGATTCTCCAAGACAAATCCCCCATATCTTCACTTCACCTGAAGTCTCCAAAATGGTTATGGAAATAATATCCCAGAGGTAGAAAGAACGACTTTCGGCTCCCGCACTACCTTCCTCCGCCCACACAGGGTGAGGCAAAGTCCCTCCCTCTGCAGCAGCGAGTTTGACCTACAGAGCGCGGCTGCAGTGAACTAGGCCTCAGCAGCCCCCTACATCCTCCACAGCACTCCAACCTTCGCGTCGATCCCTACCCAACAGAGTGAGCGGGGGAAGATCTAGGAGAGTCTGACCTACACCGAGGGGGGCCTGACAGCTGGGCCTCGACGGCTCTCCACCGCCCTACTGGAGGGGAGGAGGGGAGTGAGATGCCCCCAGCATTAGGAGGAAACGAAGAAAAGGGCACTGGGGTTAAGAGGCGAGGGTAAAGCTGTTCCCGGGAGGGTGGTATGCCCCGCCTGGAGGCTGCCCCATTCAACAACGTGGACGCTCCAGGGCCAAGAGGCCCGGCCCTTGGCCTTCCCCCTTGCCCCATTCGGCCCAACCTGGGCTACGTACCAGAGCGGGGGTGCAGGCGAGCTTGGCGCAGGCGAACATCTTACACTCTTCGGGGCGGCGCGGCTAGAGGACTTGGGTGACAGGCGGCGTGGGCTCCTCTCCCGCTTCCTCTCTGCGGAGTCAAAGAGACTTAAGGTCAAGTGCCCTCCAAGGGCCTGTCCTTCCCACCTGGGACCCGCGGACTGTCGTGCACGCCGGCAGATTTGGCCCCACGCCCAGGGAGGTGCCAGAGAATGAATGGGTCCCCACTGGGCGCTGCTCCGCCCGGACTGGGCCCGGCTCCCGCGCCCTCCGCTTACCTTTACCGGCACCTGCAGCCGCGGCAGAGGTCGAAAGAGCGGGGCCAGGCGCGCAGGCGCGGTTCTGCTCTTATCCGCGCCGCAGCACCCGGATGGAGAAGGCGGGGAATCGGGTGCAGAAGGGAAAACGCTCAAGGTCATTTTGTAGCAACTTTATTGGTAACTAGTCGGGAAGGACAGTGACAGCCACCTGATGACGGGCTGGCGGGCGGGAGCTTGTACGGGGGCACCAAAAAGAAGAAATTGAAGACTAGCCCTAGCAGATAGGGCTGGACGGGCTGATTCACCTTTCATCTGAGCTGTCCGGAGGCTAGTGGGCTAAATTTTGTGAGATTTGGCCTTTTAACAGTTGCTATAATTCGCCTCGATGGCAATGGATTCATTTCTCTTAAGTGAAAGGATCCTGGTCATTCTCCTCTGTGAAGTAGGAGCGTGTTACTCTGGGTGTGTGTGTGGTGTATTTATATTTACTACTTGATGGAAGAAATTAGGGTCCGCAGCAAAATCAATACGTTTATTTAAAAGAATCCGGGAAAGCGTTCCAGAAATATGGCTAATCTTTAGCTTGAAAGAGCGCCTGACCTAGAAGTACCCAGACTGAGGAACGAGGGAATGAGTAGATCAAAGAGCTTTGTGACCTCGGGCACAAAGTTGCTTCTGGGTGACGAGAGATCAACTTTTCTTCCAGCTCTATGTTTGGAAGAATTGTGGGATTGTGATGTATTTCATGAAGGACCTGGGACTGAAAAAAGCCTGGGTATTTAAAAAACCCACCAAACACCTGTTTTTGGTAACTTTGGGCTAATCATTTTCTTCATGTGAATACAGAAACGTCTCACAAAAATGACTCACCCTTAACCTCTGGTTTTCTGTAGCCTTGACTTCTGTAAACTTGTCTTAGAAGTTGTAAGAAATGGCTGCTGGAAGTGATACAAAAAAATATAGAAGATGAAACATCTAGAATGCCCAGCCCAGGGGATGACTAAAGACTGCATCTAGCCAGCTTTGTCTAGTGTCCTGGCGTGGGCCAGCATCAACCCAGAGGATAAACTCTTTTCTAATAGTATAATCTAGCAGCAACCTTGGGGAGAAGGCCTCAGAACTAAAACTTGAAGAATGAATAAGACTTTGTCACTGATCCAATTTCAAATGCAAGTGGTTCACGAATTTATGAAAGCTAATCATTTTAGGCTTAATCTTTAACTCATAAAATAAAGATAATTTACATGTCCAGTTCAAAGAGATATTGGTATATTTTCTCAAGTACTCAGTTCTAACCTGAAGTATGTGCTGTCATATGGTATCTAAAATAGAATAAACAATAATGCCCTATACTTCAATACTAGATCTTCTTAAGAGAACAATTATTCCAAGTGGATTTGTATGCAGAGATGATTTCAGGGAAATTCCAATCTCTTCAGCAGTAAATCAGTAGCAGTAACTGTGAAAGATGGGTCAGGGGAGAAGTCAGGATTTGAACAGGGTCACTTCCAAGGTGCATGTGGGCTTGTTGCCTGTGGCAGGTATAAGTGCAGCCTATATTGGGGCTTCGCACTATCAACATGTCAGTAAACACACGACCTGGCTTAGGAGAGGAGAGAACATCCCCTTTGTGGGTTCTGTCTGTTATGAAGAACATAAGGTGTTCAAAGAACAGATGTTCTATCTCTGAGAATTGTATGTGTGTGTGTGCATGTGTGAGAGAGATAGGGAGAAAGAA